TGCAGCATAGACTGATAAGAACTTTTCGTTACTGGATTGTGAATTCAAATTGCACAAAATTAAAAATAATTAATATTTATTAATATTTTAATAATGTTTCAGGAATATTAAAATATAATACCTAGGTTTATTATATAAGTGGACATATAACCTCTATAGAATACTCCTGTAATATTAAAAAAATATTTTTATTTTCGAAATATTATAACATTTTAATTTTTTTAATAATATTCATGTAATATTCTAGGAACATTTTGCGCTTATAGGGAAAGGCCACGTGGTTAAAATTGACGAATGTCAAGCATCAATTTTGATCACGCGACCTTTTTTGACGTTAAAGGTGCGTTCCATTATTTTCAGGGTTTGAAAAGCTATACTTTACAAGTTACTTTTTATTAGGTGTAGAAATTGAGAACAATAAGTTTTATTTGTTATATATTTTATCAGTTGTTGCAATTTTTACTGTTGTACTCAATTTTTATAACAAACATATACAAGGTAATCTAAAAGTTAACTTATAAGCGACTTCTAAAATAATTTTCCTAGCTCTGTTTTATTTTGTTAGAAGTTTTCTTCGCCGAGATAGGACTAAAAGCATCCAATCAGCGCGAAGAAAACTTCGAACAGTTGCAAGATAAAGGCTACGTTTACACCGTGCATTTAGGCCGCGGCCTATACGATAGATGTCCTTGTTTATACTGGCTACGTTTACACCGTGCATTTAGGCCGCGGCCTATACAATGGATGTCCTTGTTTATCCTGTAGGATAAACAAAAACACCTATCGTATAGGTCGCGGACTAAGCACACGGTGTAAACGTAGCCAAACAATGGCTGCGTTCAGCAGAACGTTTGTTTTACAACTGTTGGAAGTTTCCTTCGCGCTGATTGGATCATACTTTTAAATCTAGAAGAATGGTCCTATCTCAGCAGACAAGGGCTACGTTTACACCGTGCGCTTAGTCCGCGACCTATACGATAGATGTCTTTGTTTAACTTACAGGCTAAACAAGAACATCTATCGTATAGGCCGCAGACTAAGCGTATGGTGTAAACGTAGCCAATCATAAAACGGTTGCAAAACTGTTGAGTCTGCTGAACGCAGCCATTCTACCGAACGCGAGCAATGCTCGTAAGCGGCAAACGAACCGTACCCAAAAATAAGCTTCGAGCGTCAGTATGGCTACGTTTACACCGTGCTTTAGGCCACGGCCTATACAATAGATGTCCTTGTTTATCGTGTAGGTTAAACAAAGATACCTATCGTATAGGTCGCGGACTAAGCGCACGGTGTAAACGTAGCCTATGAAAAGGTACCTTCAACTCAACCTGAGACGCCGCACCGCTTCGCTGCGTAGCGTTTCTCGATCGCGAGGCTGAAACCTCGGCTATCCACCGGCTCCACGGCGACGATGACGAGATCCGTTAGAAATCCACGACGATCGTCCGATTTCGCGACGCGAGTCCCTCCTCGAGATCGCTTCCACGAGACCACCTCACCTCGTTTTTTTTTCCTCTCTCTTTTATGTATCTGCCTCGCAAGAAACCTCACGTCAGACGAAATCTGGGGCCGTTATTATTCTCGAAAAATATCCCGTACGAAATACTACAGTATACGTCACCTGTATTATAGATTTCCCCAGTATTTTCGTACACGATATTTTTTCGAGGCCCCGGAGGGTCGATTGTGTACCTCGATACGAGGTGAAAATTATAAAAGTGAACAAATTCTTTAGAATGTTTATAATTTCATTGGGGTTAACACCTGTCGACTTTTCTCACTTTTGGAATTTTCGATTCGTTTCTTTATTTCCGCACTAGAACTCTCTTTTCGTTGAATGTCAAACGTGTCTCACTTTAAGTTCCAAAAGTGTATACTAGGTCACGAAAAAACAGACCTACAATAATCGACACCCAGATTCGTTGCACGATCGTCACGAAAACAAAAAGTAGATGAAACTTTATAAACCGTATCTCTCATTGACGCAGTTTATAATTTCTATTGGAAGCGTAGCGCCGGAAGGAGATATTATCATCGTGCATTATCATTTTGACGGTTAACTAGAATTGACAGTTTCGTTTACCGCCTGTCTTCCGGGATCCAAGGTTGAAATTCGGAGAAGTCGTTCCTCTTCACAGAGGCGCCGAATCGAGCGACGCGTCTCACATGGACGTCAAGATATATCGAGAAGGTAAACAAGAAGACACGCGTTGAGAAAAAAAAATTCAAACCTATACGATAGGTGTCAACGTTATGGAATTTACAGTTGTCGTTGATGTACGTACATGCGCGTCATCGGGAGGTCTAGGAACGACTGCGCGCTGCGTAGAATGTCGCGCACTAACTGGAGATGACTGGAGATTTGTGGAGACTGCGACGCGCGCAATTGCGAGACTAATCTACAACGGCATTGTTACACGAGGCGAAGAGAGGCACCGGACAACTGTCAACGTTTCTTGTCGAGCTCGATTAACAAGAGATCTCGCCCGAGCCGAATTCTGTTTAATTAAATTCAATCCCTGCTCAATCTCATACGTATGAAGAGACGAGATTGATAACGTAATTCCCTTGTCTATTTGTATTAATGTAGATTAACTTCAGTCTCGATTCAACTAACTCTTATGCCCGTGGCACACTATGGATTGTGGACGCGGATCGGATTGGGATTGCGGATCGTTGGATTTGGATTCTTCGTTCACACTACGAACTACGGATTCAATTTGCAACATATGCTGTATCGCAAATGTGTTGTTAATACAGTGTCGTCGACGTTTGCTGTGTATAGGGTGGCTAACCATTCCGAATTTTGTGGGATTTTTATGTCCCGATTTTTAATTCTCTATAAATACGTCTCTATGATTAGCATAGGTAACCACAACAAACAATGCTTATTCATCCATCATGAATGGGTCACATGACCAAACTCGATGTTTTATTGGCTTGGATCACGATTACGGATCGCAAAAATAGAGAGCCGTCTATTCTGCAATCTACAATCCGGATCCGAAACTGCCTTGTCTTGATTGGCTGAATTCCGCGATCCGCAATCCCAATCCGATCCACAATCCGTAGTGTGACACGGGCATTAGGCCGGAATCAGACTACGCATTGAAGATTGAGATCGAAGATTGAAGATTGAAATTTGACCAATGAGGGCAAAGGAATTTTAGCTCCTATTGTTTCGATTGGTTAAATTTCAATCTTTCAATCTTCAATCTCAATCTTCAATGCCTAGTCTGATTCCGGCCTTATTCATAGTCAGTATTTATAATCAGGTCTTAGCCGGAATCAGACTACGCATTAAGATCGAAGATTGAAATTTGACCAATAAGGATAAAGAAATTTTATCTCCTTTCATTTCGATTGGTCAAATTTGAATTTTTTAATCTTCAATCTCAATCTTCAATGCGTAGTCTGATTCCGGCTTTATATTTAATGGCCATTCTACAATAAGCCATTAGTAATAAATCGGAAGTTAAAAATTGATCAATCACAGTCAAATGTAAGAAGAATAATCGACTATGATTGGTCAATTTTTAGCTTCTGACTTCTGATTTATTACTAATGACTTATTGTAGTATGTGTGTAAAGCCGAAATCAGACTACGCATTGAAGATTGAAATTTGACCAATGAGGGCAAAGGAATTTTAGCTCCTATTGTTTCGATTGATCAAATTTCAATCTTCAATCTCAATCTTTAACGCCTAGTCTGATTCCGGCCTAAGGCTTCCTTAAATTTATCTCCAGATGCTCTACGAATTATTTTATTGGCTACTGAACATCTAAAGATAAATTTAAGAAAGTCTTAAATATAAGGTCTGACTATGAGTATCTTTTTTTTAAATTCTTAAGCCGGTTTTTAATTCATAGTCGGTTCTTATATTTATTAGCATCTTAAAACGTTATTTGTAATTAAGATGATCTTAAAATAAGATTATAGAATTAAATTGAACACCCATTATCCCAAAATATAGTCATATATTATTTGTAAGAAAGTTCGCTGAAGAGAGAGATATTCAAAGATTAGTTTTAATATAAATATTTATATTAAATATAAATTTTGTGTGAGAAGATACATTTCTTCTCTCGCTATTCTGGATATGCTTATGATAATAAATCTTTAGCCTTTTGCTCTAAACTTTAAATGTTACGCAATCTTTTTTTTAAAAGTCATTCAGAGACCTATTTTTAGAAATAAGTAGGTAAGGGCCGTATAATGTTTATTTCATTTGCTTAAAATAGAAAATGTGATTTTATATTTTTCGGCTGAGTTGAGGGCACAAAAATTCACAGATGTAGGTTGCGTATCATTGTTCTAAACTATAACATTTGGTTCCGGCAAAAAGTGTTTCTCCAGCGCTGTTTTAAACCTTAATCGTTAAACTTTAAATATGTTGGATAGATTCTAACTGTAAAATTTTAAATTGTTTAGAACAAAAGACTAAAGGATTACTACATCTATTATTGATCGGGAGTTGGGCGTCTTTCCTTTCTAACAGACTATTCATTATTTTTTATGCACATGTGTTTATGGATGCGTGTAAAAGTGAAAGGAAGTTTGATCTGAAAGCATTCAGGCCTCTGTTCTTCTTAATTGAATTTCTTGCATGATTCAACTTTCCACGTTATTTTTCACGTTGGAGAGAAAAAGAGAAAAGATGAACTGTGCACAGCTAAAAATAATAGATCTATGGATTTGGTATTTAATAGAGAATGCTCACATATATCTATCTCTATGTTTAGAGCACATAATTGCTATAAACATTGCCGGCAAATTGAAAGTTGTGAGATATAAAGAAGCGCGAAATTAGTAATCCAGCGATCTAGGAATTCGCCGAGAGAAATGCTTTCTAAGTTTAATTATCCGTGACTGTTCATTCGCGTTGAAGCGGATAAATTTTCTGCAAGCTCACCGAGGCGAGATATTGCTTCGAATGTCACGGGTCACATAATACATCACATTAAATATAATACATGCAAGTTATGTTTGTTACCTGGTTGCACACGCGACCATTGTCAGAGGCGGAATCGCATTGTTAGAGAAGAATGCCGCGTTTCGAGTTTCACCACGCAACTAGAACCGGATTAGTTAAATCTAGTAATTAAGCGGTTATTTTTGCCTGTCATTTCTGTTTATCGTTTAAGTCTGTGGCCTCTCGACGCGATATATGTGACTTTTATATTTTCACGGCTTCTTGCATGATTCTCATTTTATATAGTAGTAAAAGAAAATATAGAATTCATTCTTTTAACAAAGCAATAATTAACTTTATACATCTCAGGCGAGAGAGACGATGGAAAAATAAATTTCTCTCTGTGCACAATATTGATGTAGAACATGATCAATGCAAAAAAAGTATATCAGATGTTTTTATTCTATGTAAGAGAGATAAGGGTTGTATAAACACAGATACTTATATGAAAACACTTTAAATGCGATGTGTTATCAAATGATACGTATATCAATATATTATCAGGTGATACGTTTTGATATGAAATTGCAGTTTTAGATAATGTGTATTATTAACCTTTACACACGATCGATCATTCTGTTTTTGAAATATTACGATATTTTTGAATATCTGAGCGAATAATGGTCGTTATTATTTTATTTATTATTATATTTATTTTATTTTTTAAAAATATAAGTACACTTTAATAAAACTTTCTAAAGACGTTAAAATATATTAAGAATTATTTATTAGGTGTACAAGTATGACTTTACGGATTTTTTGATAAAAAAAACGCATTAATTAGACATAACATAAAAATCATTCTTACTTTATTCAAAGTATGCTTCATCGGAAGCCACATGTGTGAAAAATGGTTTAAACGATTCAGAAGCAATGATTTTGGTTTGGATGATAAAAAGAAAGCCTCTTATGAAGAAATCAAAAATTGAATTGATAACTAGATCGCTTCAAAACATCCAGACTTCTACGTGGAATCCGTTTATTGCCTGAAAAATGGGTAAAGTTGTGTTCTTTGTAAGCTTCCATAAGCAAACGATGACTTTTTCAGCTGCACTTTTCTTTAGAAAAAAATAATGAAGTAAAACTTCCCGCAAATGGCGTTTTTCCGGTACAAAATTTAATATTTTCAATGCGATAAAAATAATAATTGTTTACACTTTAGTCAAATGAAATGTACTACGTTTTAAAGCATATACACCTTTCAAGTACATGTATTGCCAATTTCAAATAATACCAGCAGTATGACTATACCGCATCATCTATTGAAAATCCATAAAGTCAAACTTGTACACCTAATAATTTTTGTATGCTTGTAAAAGTGATGAAAATTAACGTGACTCATCACATGTGTAAAGGAAAATCATCATGTGTATTAAGAGTTAAATAAATATGTACATCTTAAATATGTACATACATTTTTAAAAAATATGATCGCATCCTTCAATAGTTTAGATATATATTTATAATATATTTTAAAACGAATTTTATTTTCTTAAATTACTTACGCATTCTGAAAAAAATTATAAAGATATACAAGAGAGAGAACTCACCTGAGATGTTTTCTTGCACGTAAGCGCCAGGTTTTCGTCTTTGGCTCTTTTCCACTTTTCATTATTATTTTGAATAATTCCGAGGGTTTCTTTGAAATGCTTAGCTTTGAACTTGGTTTGTAAACTAGGTAAATTCGTATCTGTAAGAATGTAAGTTTTTGTATTTTTTATGCAAATATTTTGCGTAAATATACAACATACTAAAAGATGTGAGAAAAGCGTGAAATGCTCACCAATATATGACAGAAGAAGACTGGATTGGTATAAATTCTTGGTATAAATGGAGCTCCAAATAGTGAAGCAAAGAGGTTCCGTGACGAGACAATCCGCAAGAACCTTAATCAACTCGTTCCTATAGTTCAAATCTGACTTCTGCGATACTTTTCCCATTAACATTTCAAACAATTTCGTGTAACATATGTCTTTGTTTCTAAACAATATTGACTGAAAAAAATTTTACCATATTGATTTTACTGCCAACATCAAACCGCATCGTTAAATCGTACATGCATTACATTTTTATAAAACCTTAGATATATACCAAACCTATCCAAAACTAGCTTGCGAGCTAAGTTTGTATAGACTTGGCATATTCTGGGATCTTTGAGACTCAGTGAAATTTCAAAACGTTACTAGTAACATTAGTAAATAGAGATGTCATGTTTTTAGATGTTTATTATGATTTTGGATTATTTTTAAATGAATAAATGTATTTTTTAATTCATTTACGATTAAAAAAATTAATCACAATTTTTCGAGCATTATAATGAAGACTAATGGAATCTCATAGATCCCTATATAGTATAATAATGTATATACAAAATAAGTGTATATCTAGAGTTAACTAAAATGCGTGATATAAGCTTCAAATTCGTGTCTGCATCACTTACTCTCAACCTGTCGATACTGGCACTAAGGTCTTTTCCCAGATTCGCTGGTTGAATGTTTTGAAATCTTTGAGAATAGGTATCCATGATGATACTCAGGTACAGATCCAGACTAAGATCATGGACATTGTCATGTCCAAAGACGAGGTCGTTGAGGATTTGTACAACGTAACTGGCGTAGCCCTTTGTCTCCAGCATCGGCGACATTACCTCGTGCCAAATTTTCAAGCCGACCGCAAAATTCTTCTTGCCGGCCTGCGACCAAGCCCATAATAGAGACAAGCCAATGTTCTTCCTGTTTTCGTAGGAGTTCCTTATGTTAATCAGTTTGAGAATGTTGGCGGCGGTCATTTCGGGATTTAAGTGCGCTAGCAACTGCAAAAATATCTTGTGTCCGATAACGGGAATTCCCTTGACCATGTCAGTGGCCATTGCCGTGAGAGTGTTCTCGTAAAAAATTTGTATGGTTTGCTGGCCCGTCATCTCTACTGCTCGTTCTAGTATGGAAGAGATCGCCTTAGGTACTAAACTTAACGGGTAATCCTTGGGTTTTCCTGAGAAAATCGCATCTTCCTTGTTGATGGGTATCTTGATGTTGAGGAAGGCATTGAGTTCCTTCAACCAGAGCAGGGGAGCCTCGGGAAATCTGACTTGTGCAGTGGTCAGAAGTTCATCGAGTTCTTGTGGATCAATCTGTGTTCATTGTACGGAATTAATTACTAGCATATAATTCAGCAATTTAAAAAGCAATTTGAAATACAATGAAGTTAACTTATATTTTTTCAAATATATACAATAAAAAGATTAATATCAAATGATTTCAAATATTCCAAATTAAAAGCAGTCTTACCGCATTCAATGCATCCTTAACAGTTTTTGGAGGTTTCTCCTTTGGCTCAGATTTCTTCTTTTCAACATGCTGCTGCTGTTGTTTCTGATGCTGCTTCTTCTTTTCCTCATTCTCTTTTGTCTTATGTTCTTTCCCTTGCGCTTTGACAGGTTTCTTATTCTCCTTGTTTCCATCTAGATTATCGTACAGTGTCTTCACTTGACTCAACGGCACTAAAATTAATATATATATTAAGTTAGATATACAATTTTCTTGTCAAGAGTAAAATCTTGGGTAAAAAGACTAAGAAGATGCTTGTTTGTAAAACGGCTGTAAGTTTAAGGTAAATATTATCCTTTGGAGTATTTTATAAAACAACTCTACATAAAAGGATAATTTACTGTATCATGATAAATATTTCTATATCATTCTGTGGCAAAAGGAGCAATTGTAAAGTAAGTATTACAAAGTACAAGACTCCAAATTAAATTTGAGATAAATTATTCTTTAGAGCTATCTAGCAAGATAACTCCAAAACAATGATTTATCATTCATGACGAGTATTTTCTATATCATTCTATGGTAAAAAGGAGAAATTGCTGAATGGGTATTGCAAAGTACAAGACTCCAAATTAAATTTGAGATAAATTATTCTTTAGAGCTATCTAGCAAGATAACTCCAAAACAATGATTTATCATTCATGACGAGTATTTTCTATATCATTCTATGGTAAAAAGGAGAAATTGCTGAATGGGTATTGCAAAGTACAAGACTCCAAATTAAATTTGAGATAAATTATTCTTTAGAGCTATCTCTAGCAAAACAACTCCAAAAGGATGATTTTTTATTATAGCAAGACAAATATTTTTATGGCAAAAAGGAATAATTGCAGAATGAGTATCTTAAAGTACAAAACGTTCCAAGTCTCAAATGAATTATCCTTTGGAGCTCTCATACAAGACTAATTCAAAAGGATTGATCATGACGTGTATTTCTGTATCAAAAATTCTGTGACAGAAAGGAGTAATCGCAGAATGAGTGTCGCAAAGTATACACACGATAGTACCATATTGCGACCCTCTCTTTATACATTTCACGCGCGATTGAAGCAGGTCAGACGCACTCGGCTCGCATCGTTCTCTCAGCTGATATATCATCAATAGCAAATCGACAAAGTCACGGATAATTGGAGCAGAAGCTACGAGGCTTCCGAAGTGGAAGGTGGGTAGATTATGACAGAGACGACTCACAGAAGTCCTCGACTTTCGGCGCGTTCTCAATAAATTTCTTCTTCTCAGCCTTCGTGAGCTTGGTCGACTTGTCGTTGCCTCTGTCCTTCTTCCTGCTGACCAATTCAGCGATGAAAACGTAAACGCGTCAACGACAAAACACACACATACACTCACACGCAACGCGTACGTACGCACCGAAAGAAAGGAAAAAAAAAGCAAGAGGGAATGAGAGAATGGAAGAGTGAGAGAGACGATACACTGTTCGGAAGGCACTGAAGTTGGCTGGAGGACAGCGCGATCGGGGGCCAAGGTACAATAACGAGCGTCGGTCAGTCCCGTTGGCGAAGTGTTGTCAATCGCAAGTCACAACGTCACAACGGTGGTACGTGGTAGCGCATGCGCGCTCGCGCAATTGCCACGCGCACCAGCGAGAAAACAGCGCAGTGTTTCAGCGAGCGCTTTCACGCGCCACGTATTTATGTTTCTCTCTCCGAGGAACAGGGAGTCGATTGTGTATCTTGAAATGAGGTGAGAATTACAAAAGTGAGCAAATTCGCTAGTTATTGACCAAGTAAATCATGAATATTTCTAGTAAATTTGCTCATTTTTGTGATTTTCACCTCATTTCGAGATACACAATCGACCCCCAAGAGAGAGCGTGACCCTCAAGAAAAAGTCTAAGGCCCGTATTCATAGTCAGGCCTTATATTTGAGGCTTCCTTAAATTTATCTTCAGATGCTCTATTATTTCATTGGCTACTGAGCATCTAAAGATATATATAATAAATTTAAGGAAGCCTTAAGTACACAAGGTCTGACTACGAATACGCGAAAATTTTTCTCAGAATTTTTCATATAATTTTTCAGAATTTCTATATAATTTTATGACTTTCTCACATTTTTTTTATATGAATTGGGACACTTCTCAGAAAATCTACATCTTTTTTCTCAGAAGTTTTCATATATATGTTACTTATGAAATATCGTAAGATTTCTAAAAGTTTTTGTAAGTATAATTTCTGATGAAATGTTATAAAATCTAAAAAATTAAAAAATATTTTTTTTAAATTATAGGATGAGAAATTTCAGAATTCATTGGTACGAAAAATTCTGAGAGAAGATGTAAACTTTCCGAATATTTTTAAGTATTATACACGTTCGCGTTTCTGGAGCAAGAAATATACAGGATATTATAGCTTTACAAATATGCATATTTATTTATAGAGCATTTATGTAATAAAATATCATGAATTTAAAAATGTATTAGTCAAATATTTATGTTAATAATAACAAATTTATATCAATTGTCGATAATGTCAGCGTTCTTCGATTACCTCCGGGCCCTTGGGGCCCTTTTTATACCGCCGAAAATTTACCCAGGGTTGACGGTCTTTAATAGTATCTCGTCGGTGCTTTGAATCAAATTTAAATTCTTATTCGCGCCCTTTTGCAGACTTCCGGCCGCACTCGCACTTCGCCCGTCGGCCGCATGACGGCGACACCGTGAAGCTGCATCGCGCAACGCGCCCTACGCGTGACGTATATGCGATGCACTGTGCACTACATAAATGTACACCGAGCATACACGCATGTCGCGTACGTGATCGCCCCTGCGATAGGGTTTGAATTTCGCCTGTGAGAGAGTGCCGCGTGCCGCGCCGAAACTCGCCAACGGACGACGACGTCGACGACCGATCGTTATCAGAGGTGTCGCGTATCACGCAGTTTCCGATGCGTGCGACACGCGTGTTCTGAGGACGTCCGACAACGCGTGAGGGCTCGCCGTGACTTCATGCCCAGGTGACCACCGCGCGGACACGACTTTCTCCAGACCTGGTTGCGGTGGCGCGCGATCACCCGGCTACGGGAGACAAACGGGCGCGATTCGCCACGTCGACCTCATCATCGTCGCCGACGACGTCGTGAGAGGAGGTCTCCGTCGTCACGCAGGTAGCCAAGTTCCATTTTTGTTAGGTTAACTTAAGGCACGACGCCGTGACGCTTAATCGGGTGGGGGCACTAATTAGGAAACGGGGATGGAGAGAAAGAGAAAGAAAGGAGAGAAAGGGGAGAGAGAGAGAGAGAGAAAGAGAGAGCGAGCAAAAGAGAAAGATCGTGCGCGTCGTTACCGTTAGTCAGCGTCAGGATTGTTGGCCACACGCGTGTCTCACGTCTGATCTCTGAGATATCGGGAGTGATACCCAAAGCCGGTTTCCTGGATTGTTTTTTCATGGTGGGACTTTGCCATCCACGTTTTTTTCGTCTACTATGTACCTGTCGTCAGCTGCTTTAACTTTGTTCTAAAATAGTCCATAGAATAATCCTAAACAATCTAAAGAGTGCTTTCCAGTAAGAAACACAGCTGACACTGTAGGTTTCTTTTGATTTCTATACCAGAATTTTCTTTCTTGCTTTCTCCAAATATCAAACTTTTCTCTGTTTCATAAATTCCAAAACTACGCTAGTTTAGCCATAGAAAACAATGTAACACTGTGAATCATTTCATCTTTGTTTAATATTGGTAAACAACAATGATGTAATGATTTACTTCTTTTTATTTCTTTGTGATGACCTGACGTTTCGTATGATTTGACACAAACAAATGTTGTTTTGATCTTTTCGACACTAAATAAATAAGAAAAATAAAACAACACTTGTGTTGACTGTACTCTCCTAAAAGGAGAGCAGTCGTAATGATTTAAAGTATCACACAGGTCTGTTTTCTATAACTGAACTAATGTATACTTTTGGAACTCAGATTGAAATAAGTATATATTTGATATTTGGACTTTGGGCTGTGTTTGGTTTAGATGTTCGCATACTGTAAGCTTCATTCTATTTTCTTTTCACATGCAATAAAGACAGAATGTAGCTTACAGCACTTGCGTTCAAATAGTCTTGGCGAAGGCGAGAAAGAAAAATTTAGTGCAGGTATAAGAAAAGACATATTGTGTCATCTGTTAATATTTTCGACTGCAGTGGATTTGAATTGATTTGGGTTGAATTAATAATGTATGATATGTAATGTCAATCAGTGGTAGAGCATGTAACATCATTAATCCAACTCAGGTTGATTCCAACCTACTGCAGTCAAAAGCGCTATGCGTTTCTTCCTGGGAAGCACCATCAGTAAACATACGTTTTTTCTGTTCAAAATAGTCGCATACGTTTCTTTGTTGGATCAGTTATTAAATTAATTTATTTTTGATATGTTCTGACTTTGTAGATTTGCTTGATGAGAAATGGAATGGTTGGATTTATGCTTCTTATTGTCTTGCAGTTAAGCTCTTAGAGACGGAATGGGTAGCAGCGGCCAACTCTACAGTCTGTCCTGGGGAGAGTTCAGTTCTTCTCTGGCCTCTGCAGTGCAGCTGTTGAGGGGAGATGGCGATTTAGTAGATGTTACGTTGGCTGCTGGAGGACGCAGCTTTCCTGCACACAAGATTGTTCTCTGTGCGGCCAGTCCGTTCTTGTTGGATTTGTTAAAGGTTGTGTGTCATCTTTCTGATAAGACTTTAAGACTGGTATTCATAGTCAATTCTTATTTAAGATTGTCTTAACTACAAGATAATAAAATTACTACATTTAAGACTGTTTTAAGTACACTCTCTAAATTCTTTGGAGTGGAATCTTATTCTAAAGAGTAAAAATTGATCCAGCTTTTAAAAAATGTGGTTCAATTTTTAATGTTTAAGTTTAGTGCATACTAAAAGCTGCTATAAAATTAGCAAAGTTAAATATAAAGTTATATAAATATTTTGAACGATTAACTACTTAATAATGATATCGTCATGTTATTTAACAGAATATACATGTATTATTTCATTGTCAGAGTTGATTATGCCACTACATTTATTTTATATATAGCAGCTTTTAATATGTACTAATTCAGTGTAGTGTGAGTGATTGAGAATTTATCATTAAGTACTACTTTAGTGCATAATATGTAAATTGTAGAAATTTACAACAAAGTTCATTGTTTACAGAGTACGCCATGCCAGCATCCAGTGGTTATGCTGGCAGGAATTGGAGCAGATGACTTGGAGTCTCTGCTGGAATTCGTATACAGAGGAGAAGTGAGCGTCGAGCCGGCGCAGTTGCCTTCCTTGCTTCAGGCTGCCCATTGTCTGAGCATTCACGGATTGACGTCGTCAACCAATATATTAACGGAGGTATATTTTTGATGCATCTCGTTTTAATTGTACTTAAATAAAAGTAGAGTGATTAATCTAAATGCAATATGTATGTACGTGATTGTACATTTAGAGTGGAGAAAAAGTTCCTGAGTCTGCGATACCAACGGTGACGAACGATGGATTGTCGAAGGCAACAGTCAACTCGCATCCACTGAAACGAAGAAAAAAGAGGAGGAAGTCGTCGTCATCTTCTGGAAAGTGGCAGTGTACTAGAAATACTGCTGACAGTGAAAGCAGGCCTTTGGACGACAACAACAGAACAATGCCTTACGAAAACAAGGATGACGACGCTATGGATCAAACCGATGATGCAGGTAATGTAAAGAATTTTGTAAAGATTTTAATCTTTCTCCTGCTAAACTAAATAGTTTATTTTTTAAATGAGAAACAAGATTAGCTATGTAACAGATTTTGTATATAATTGTTTTGAAATATTTTGTAGTAAAATACTGATGACGAAGACACTTATTTTTTTTGCTTTTTATGTAATGTGATTTGTCAGATGGATTTTCCTTATTTTGTTAGAGATTTTTACGCTTATCACAATTTTTTAATTAATTCCGATAACTACAAGCTTCTAATTAAGCATGCAAGACAGAAATATAATGAAATGGCAATTCCACTTGTGTTTTGTGTCCGGTGCATTACATTTAGCATAGCAGCCGTTTAAAAACTATACCAAAAATTATATCACCTGCGGGAGATTTCGTACATCTACGTAGCTTTTTTTCGTTTCAATTAAAACGGACACAAGCACAACCATCGATCGGGTTGAACTGCATTTCTGATTGGTCGTCCTCCGATTCGTCTGAACCGTGAGAGCGAGAGCGAGAGAGCGAGAGCGAAAGGGAGAGAGAGAGAGCGTGAGAGGGGAAACAAATTCAAAGTAACCCAAAGCAACGTCAGTTCAGCCCTGTATGGTAACATTGTGTTTGTGTCTGTTAACAGCGGGCAACTGCCTGGTCGGAAACTACGCGAACAACCATCAGGGTGGCAGTCATTCACCGCGACTTCAAGAATCGTCCACCGCGGACAATCATCAGGCGGCGCATCAGGATCACGTTGCGGACGAAGAGTCGCACTTGCATACGCTGATGCCATTGCACATACCGCAGTTCCACAGTTCCCTCAACATGGGCTTTCCACCTGGTTTGGCGTTATCCGGCTTAGCGGCTACTCAGGCGGCATCGATCGGCATGAATCAGTCGAAGACGCGTGGCGCCTCCGACTGCCCGGGTGTTTGTCCACTTTGCGGCGCGACCTTACGTCAGGCGAGGAATCTCCGTAGGCATCTATTGTCTTCGTGCAAATTTAGCAGAACTCCGACGCGACGACAGTGGAGATTAAGCCTGAGATTGAGAGTTACAACGATCAGTCGTCGATAACGTATGGGACCGACGGCAGTAACGACTGCGAACAGATAGTCTGCAATCCCACCTTACCCTCGCCAACGTCGCACGAGCCTGAAAGCGCGATATCGTCACCGAGGAGCATCCCATCGCCGACGATCGCCAGATAAATGTACAGGGAACTGACTCACCGGGAATATCGAGAGATGAACGCATTGTTCGTTTTATAGTTAATTTTTTTGCGGATTTCGTTCGGTTGTCAGTTGTGTTACAGTGATGCGACACTCAAAATCGTGGTGAGTGGGTGCGACAGTAAAGACAGAGAGGAGAGATAAGATATTTTGCATTGTATAGTTACATATATATTAACGAAAGCGAACGGTTATTTGTAATTATTGACGTACACGTTATTTAACTAGGTAAAAAATTCGGAGTATATTTGCGCGTTTAGTTTTATACGAGAATCTTCCACCTTAGTATATAAGATAGTATTGTAGGGTTATAATTGATGAAGATTTAAGCATAATGAATGAAAATTATCGTGAAAATTATCATTATTCTTTTACCATTGGGGCTTACATGATAATTGGGGTTTCGTGCGATGGTGCAATTAAACTTCGTCCACTGCAGTTCATTTTTACTGCCCCTTTAATTCCTCCTCTTACCATAGAATGGTCTAATAATAGTACGTTTCTAAGAACGCTGCGTTTTTTTAAGCGCTGAGATACTACCGTGTCTCCAGATACGGGCTACCGTTTACGAATACCATTTTCTAATGAAATCGAGACTCTTGCAACAGCCACAAAATGAAAATTAATCGGCGCACATTCCTATTTTGTAATAGCAAGCTCTGCTGCGTACGTGGACTGTTGACAATAGAACATACACAAAACCACTAGTACTTTAATTGAGAAAGAAATAAAATAACGGATATAACGATGTATTATCCAATTTTTCTTTTTCAATAAAGCGCAAATAAAGTACGTGATTGTGTGTCATGTTATTTTCCTCAAAACACGATTTTGACGTTATTTACGAGCCACCTGATTTCAAAAGTTTACTGCAATAGTAAACAGTCTGGGCTAATCTACATTTTGTAAAAACGGAGTAAATGAACTCTTAAGTTAGTGATGGGAGAAATTCTAAGTGGATTAGCTTCACAACATACTTTCCCATCACTTTAATTTTAGAGTTAATTAACTAGTTTACTCCGTTTTTAGAAAATGTGGATTAATCTACTGTTGCAGCAAGTCCTTCGATTATTCCATCTATTTTTGTACCATATTAGACTGGATTATATGCATACGCTAGAGACATGTCTGATGTGAGATGTTCCTATCCGATAAGTTTCAAGTCTGTCTAGTTTCGAATTCGTTTTAGGGGACGGATTGTCGAAAGCACGTAGTCTTTCCGATCAGCCGGTGTCGTGTCCGCTGTGCGGCGCGATTCTGCGTCAATCGAGAAATCTCAGAAGACACTTGGAGCTTTTGCACTTCGGTCTGGGCGGCAACAGTAGCAAGTCCGGGATACACGCGAGGCATCGACGTGCGGCAGCGGCAGCGGCGGTCGCAGCGGCGGACAGGGCCAGCGATTTCGGTCTGTCATCCTTGGCGTGCGTTCGTCCCACTGCCAGGCTGGATTCGCACCTCGCCACGAGGTCCTCCGAGGCCTCGGACTTTTCTATGGT